TTACATGTTGGTTCAGACACAACACAGAAAGAAAGAAAAAAGCAGAAATCATTCCTCTCATTCACATTTCTGTTAAAAAAATGGACAGAAGGATGCAAATGATGCATAAAATCAGAGCCAAACATAATTGACCTATTCTGAGACTGTATATCTTTTAAATCATGCAAACATTTCTAACAAAAAAATCATATTCAGTGTGAAAAAGCCTCAGCACTGCAAAAGCCAATACTGTGTAGCAATTTGTGAACATTTTTTGTCTGTTTTCTTCAATTTGATGGATGACTCCTTCTCCGTCAGCTATTAACCACTCATTGAAAGCTTTGTATTCTGCAAATATGCTGAGAGTAATGTTAATATCCTTCATGTTGTTTAGCCTCCTCTTAAAAATGCTAAAAAGAGAGACACTTTGCCATAATATCAACCATTTTAAAAGTTAACTAATGTTTTTGTTTTAGCACCACCTCCAAAGGTACAGAGTTTGGGTCCTTCAGGAGGAATTGACCGCTTAGAGGACATGGCCTTTTGACACGCTTTAAGTTTATCAGCTCCCGCCTCAATGAGCTCAACATCCACACCAAAGGCTCCCCATCAGTGTCTGCGCAAAACCAAATCAACACGAGTCTCTGCGGTTAATAAATCTGTCACATCTCAGTCATGAGGCCATCTTTACTTATTAACCTGAGCTGATATTCATCACTGCGTCACCGTCCTCGCTGTCTGCAGAATCACACTCTCATCATCCCTCCACTCTGCACATGAGAGGAACATCTAAACAGCTCAATAACAACAGACCTGCAGAACAAAAGGCATGCTGGGAGAAGAGACAAAAAGGCTGATGGATCATGGAGCGGGTGATTGCTGCTGATAAAGAGTGATATGAATTCTCAGAGGACTTCACTGAAGTGGACAAACATAATTAAGATTGAAGAACTGGAGGTGAAATGTCAGAATTAACATGAGTTACAGAGGAGGCTGTTTTATAAAAATAGGGTGAGGTGCTCTAATGAATTTGTTTACAAACAAACAAACTAAAACTTTGACTGATTGGCTCTAAAATCTATCAAAAAAGAAAAACATGCAGCAACATGCTACAAGATTTTGTGCAGTTTGCTTCAGTTTTTCATTTGTTCATTGAGACTGGGATCACCACTAACTGTCAGGACCTCTACTCTCTGCTGCTCAGAGCTGCCTTGTGAGCTCTAATCCTGACAGAGCTCAAATCTATGCACAAAGCCATACAATCCTTTTGTGCATCAGGAAATATGAACAATTATTGTCCTCAGACCGAGAAACTTTATACATAGGGCTTCCATTTAATTCAATTCAATTCGATTCAACTTTATTTATAAAGTGCATTTATGCAAAAGGCAGACTCTATGTGCTTCACAACAGGTATACAAAGTAAAAAAAAAAAACAGTTACATAAAAATCAATTAGAAATCAATTTAGGCATGTGAGAGCAAGTAGACAACTTCATTGCATGCACACTTAAACTTGTATACGCGCATGCACTCACACATGGAGACATGCACATGCACACACATACACATACACACACACAGTTCAACAGAATGCTATAGAAAAAAGACGTGTTTTTTACAGATCTGTCCTATTGACAATCTGTTTTTAAAGATGGCTACTGATGTGGCATGTCTAACTGTGTCAGGCAGGGTGTTCCATTTTTGTGGGTCATAAACACTTAAAGCTGCCTCCCCTTCTTTGGATCTGGTGCGAGGGATGAGTAAATTGCCATTGCCTGTTGACTGAAGTGTTCTTGCTGGGGTGTAGGTGATGAGCATATCTGTGATGTACTGAGGTGCAAGGCCATGTAGTGCTTTGTAAACCAGGAGGAGTATTTTGAAATTGATTCTTGCTCTAACGGGTAACGAATGTAAAGATTTGAGAATGGGTGTGATGTGTTGATATTTTCCGGTACCAGTGAGAATACATGCAGCTGCATTTTGAATTGATTGTAACCTCTGAATACTTGATTTTGGGAGTCCAGTGAATAAACCATTACAGTAATCCAGTCTACTTGTTATAAATGTGTGGATTATTTTTTCTAAGTCTGATTTTGACACAAAGCCCCTTAGTTTGGAGATATTTTTAAGATGAAGGAAGGATGTTCTTGTAATGTGGTTTATATGGAAGCTTTGACATGCACTTGTCTCAATACATCACACAAAAAAGCAGCTTCTTGCTGTTTTCAATGAATAACCTGCGAGTAAGAGATAACAATAACAGTAACTGCCTTACAAAGTGGAGTAATAAACTAAAGTAATAAATAAATTATATGCATAATACGGAAGCGTATTGCATTCAGTTACAGAAAAGGAAACTGTTTTTTCAAAATATTCTTTTTTTGGCCATTTTTCTAATTTCTTTTTAGAAATTTCTAATAATTTTTTTCTTCTTTGTTTTTCTTACTTTTTTTTTCTTCTGTTTTTTTACTAATATTTTTTCCATCTCTTTCTTTTTTCAGACAAATTTTTATTCTGTTATTCGTGTTTTTTTTTTTGTCTTTCTGTTTTTTTGACTACTTTTTTTCCCTGACTAAGTGAGATACTTCAAAATCCTACAAGAATCTCATACAATCAGATAACGTTAACCACCATGGCTGCTCCAAATCAGCGGGTTCTCCAGCTCCTTGATAACTTTGACTACGGGGTCAATGAGAGTAAGAAAGTAAAACTTGATTAAACTAAACAAGTGGGCCATGTTTGCTTCAAATAAATTGCACGGAGGGGGATGAAAGTGTCTGTTTTTAAATGTTCATGATCCCAGAGAAAAGAAAAAACAGTCTGAAAAACAAAAGAAAAAAAGTCTGAAAAACAAAAAAATTGGTCTGAAAAACAGGGAAAAAAATATTACCAAAAACAGAAAAGCAAAAAAAAGTCAGAAAACAGAAAAGAAAAAAAAAATCACTCTGAAAAACAGAAAATAAGTAACTCTGAAAAACAGGTTTTTTTTGTTTGTTTTTTGGTGAATGCAATACACTTGCGTAGCATAAATATAAAACTAAAAGAAAAATAAAATGATGATAAATAGACTGAGAATGATGAAAAGACAGGGGTTGGGATCTGAGAGAAGAGTTATTCGAAGTTGTAGGCTGTGATGAACAGGTGATGTATGAGTAGTTTTTTAAATGTAGTCAGGGATTGTGCATTTTGGATGTCTTAGGGGAGGCTATTCCAGAAGGTGGGGGCTGTAGCACTGATAGCCCTGCCTCCAAATGTACAGAGTCTAGGTTTTGGGATGGAAAGCAGGCCACTGTCTGAAGACTGGAGGTTCTAAGAAGGAGTGTATGGGTGAAGAAGGTCAGAGAGGTACTGAAGGGCAAGGTCAAGGAGGGCTTTGTAAGTAAAGGGCAGTATTTTTGTATTTGATGCAGGATTTTATGAGGAGAGCTGCCTTATTTTAGAGGCCACTGCAAAGGTTTTTGTATGAAGACTTATATAAACAGGCTGACATTTACCTGTCTAAATTTGCTCGAAAAATTGCAACACTGGAAAAAAAAAAACTATGGTACTTATTACAATCAGATGTATTTAATTATTCCCTTTATGTTTCATTATGCCTTAGCTTGAAGTGAAGGATCCCAAACACAGGAAACTAAAACTAGGATCTCTGATGGTTAGTCAGAAAGTCAAAAAACAAGTGACTTTAGTGAATCGCAGCCCTTTAGATCTTTCCTTTACTCTGCCACTTAACACAAATATAGCGTTGGACCAAAAGGTAGGAAATAACACAAACACACACACACACACACACACACACACACACACACACACACACACACACACACACACACACACACACACACACACACACACACACACACACACACACACACACACATCCAAACTAATGTCTATCCTAAGAATAAGAATAGGAATAAGAATAACTTAATTAATGAAATTCAATTGTCTGTTGTCTCACGTAATATGTCTACTATTTACAGAAGAGTTATAAAGTCTGATGGCTGTTGGTAAAAAAGATCTTCTGAGTCTTTCTGTCCTACAGTAGAGAGAGAGGAGCCGTCCACCACCATTGGCCCTTTGGTCCATCAAGGTGTTGTAAAGTGGGTGATCCATGTTCTTTAGAATAGACTCCATCTTCCTCAGTGTAGATCTCTCCACCACATCCTCCACTGAGTCCAGCTTGAGTCCTACCACAGAGCCAGCCTTTTTCACCAGTTTGTTCAGACGTCTTGCATCTTTGTGTTTGATGCTTCCTCCCCAGCAGACTGCCGTGTAGAACAGAACACTGTAGACACCACAGACTGATAAAACATCTGCAGCATCTTACTACAGATGTCCTTTGATCGGAGTCTTCTCAGGCAAAAAAGGCAGCTCTGCCCCTTTCTGTAGATGAAGTCTATATTCTTAGACCAGTCCAACTTACTATCCAGATGTACATCCAGGTATTTATATGATGTCACCACTTCGATGTCCACTCCACGGGTGTTCACTAGCTGAAAAGGGGGTTTGGATCTATGGAAGTCTATGACCATCTCCTTTGTCTTTGAGGTGTTGAGGAGGAGGCAGTTTTTGTGACTTCAGTCACTGAAGGCTCTTATCAGATCTCTGTATTCAGCTTCTTGTCCATTTCTGATACATGCCACAATAGCAGTGTCACCTGAGTATTTCTGGATGTGGTAGGACTCAGTGCTGTATTTGAAGTCTGATGTGTACAGTGTGAACAGGAATGGCACCAGCACTGTCCCTTGTGGAGCCCCTGTACTGCTCATTAATGTCCCATAAACACAGTCCCCAGCCTGACAAACTGTGGCCTTCCTGTCAGGTAATCTGTGATCCAGAAAACACAGGCAGGATCCACTCCCATCTCTGTGATCTTGTCTTTGAGTATGGTGGGTTCGATGGTGTTGAATGCACTTGAAAAGTCGAAGAACGTGATCCTCACATAAACCCCAGGTTCCTACAGATAAGACAGGGCACGGTGAAGCATGTAGAGGACAGCATCATCCAGTCCAATGTGTTCTTTGTATGCAAACTGCAGGGAGTCCAGTTTGTCTTTGACCTCAGACCTCAGAAGGCATAGAATCAGCTGCTCCAGGGTTTTCATGGTGTGTGAAGTGAGGGCCACTGGTCTGAAGTCATTGAGCTCAGCAGGACATTTTGACTAGCAGCACATTATGTGATTTTATGATCATCTCTTAATCTCCAAATTCTCTCCCAGGATCTCTCATTCAGTCCCACAGTAGAGCTGGTGCTGACAGCAAAAGGTGGCTCATGTGATGTGGAGATTCAGTTTTCCCCTCGCCAGCAGGTATCTCTCTTCAGTGCTGAGCTACAGGCGCAGTTTCCTGGCCTGTTTCTCCCCCTGCTGACCATACAAGGCTGCTGCAAGGTAAAGAAACTAATAAGTGGGTTAACTGATACAACACTTAGAGTTTTTCAACTTTAAGAAAGTAAGAACTAGTAATGTTAGTTGGATAAAGCAATTCTAATCTCAAGATTTTAACTGACAGGTTGTGGAGGTGTACATTATTTAAACCACTGTTCTCTTTGTAGCATGTGGCTGATGTTTGTTTTCTGCTATTTGACAATGAATTACTCTGCACTTACCTGTCCTCTGTCCTCTTTGACTGTTTTTACATGGAGATCAACCTCGAACTCTGAGCAGACGCTGGAAATGTCACTCTGACTGCACAGGGCTGGTACATAAGGAGGCCCATTTTCACCAGCTAGAAAACAAAGATTTGGCCTCCATGAATGAAAAACCTAAATATTGAGTCATAACTGTGGGCTCAAAGGTCAATAATGAGATATACATTCAACACCATCCAGCCTTCACTTCCAGCCTTCACTGCTCAGGGGGGAAGCTCCAGAGGGCGGGAGTGGACTGTCACCTAGCTGCATGGACTGTGGACTACCTCACCGACAGACCACAGTTTGTGAGGCTTCAGAACTGTGTGTCGGACATGGTGGTCTGCAGCACGGGGCTCCACAGGGGACAGTGCTCTCTCCCTTCCTCTTCACCCTGTACACCTCGGACTTCAGCTACAACTCTGAGAGCTGTCACCTCCAGAAGTTCTCTGATGACACAGCCATCGTCGGATGTGTATCGTCAGGGGATGAGCAGGAATACAGGACTGTCTTCACTGACTTTGTCAACTGGTGTGGCACAAACCACCTCCAGCTAAACACCAGTAACACAAGGGAGATGGTCGTGGATTTCTGCAGGAGGAGGACACCTCAGACTGTTCCAGTGAACATCCAGGGTCTGGACATCGAGATAGTGGAGTCCTACAGATTCCTGGATGTCCAGTCCAATAAACTGGACTGGTCAACCAACACAGACGTCCTGTACAAGAAGGGCCAAAGTCGTCTCCACCTGCTGAGGAGACTGAGGTCCTTTGGAGTGTGCAGGACTCTGCTCAGGACTTTCTATGACTCTGTGGTAGCATCTGCACTTTTCTATGCAGTGGTCTGCTGGTAGCCTGGCTGGGCCATCCTGTTGTGTGAATCACTTGCTGTTCACTTGCCTTCCTTTGGCAAGTGATTCACGCAACAGGATGGCAGAGTGTCTGCAGACATAATGTTTTATCTCTTTAATCCACATCATGAGCAACAACGTCCACTTTATGGACTGTCTGAATTCAAAAGTGCAACTAAGCATAAAATAGGATGAGACCGTCTATATATCTATAATATACCATTTTCATTTGATTGCATGAATAGAGAAATCTGGTTAATCCCACAGATTCAACAGCAGCTGACATCTCACCTCTTGAAACACCTTCCTGAGTGAATTCTGCACATTGTCTATCTTGGACAGACGCTCCACCTGCTGAGAAGAAAAACAGTTAATAACTCTGACACCTTTCACAACATTGTGATATCATCTTTAGTGCTTCAAACAAACGCCTGTCACTCTTAATTGCTACATATAATCTCACACAAGGCCTCACGCACAGCATACAAGTTAATTTATAAGACTCTCATTTGCAAAAATCTCTTCAATTCTTTCAAATACTGCCCGATCTTCACATTTGATTCATATTGACATATAACCTGATAGACTACAACATGTGCAGTTATTCCCTATTCTATACGATACGAGGAGAGAGGCCGCGGAAGAGTCCTCTCTTTCCGTCCACCTTCACAATGTGCTGTGCTAAAAAAAAAATCTCTTATCAAGTAATAATTTCCTGTGAAATAATAAGATAAGATATAATAAGACCTCTCTTACCATAGGAGAAGAAGCCAGGCAGGTACAGGACTCTCCGTCCAAACATGGTCGTGCCAACCATTGGAGGAAGAGGTTCATGACCCACCTGAGACAGCACAGATTAAACACAGACTTTAAGTTATTTCTGTCAACATTCCCATTATCATCCACAAAACACAAGACAGAAAGTTCAGTTTACATGTTCACATTTTGTATAAACATAACTACACTTAACCAGATGACAAGACTAGCTTTGGTTACACTTGATCAGAACCTCAAGTGTGGTAGAGCAGTGGGAAAATTAGCAAAACTGCACTTTTATGGGTTTGGGTTTTTTGAATCTGAAATTGTATTTTAAAAAGTCTTGAGCCTCTCAAAGATAATCTAGCCCAGATGTGACCAGTCTAAGTATTGTGGTTTTAAATAGAGGCCTGGTTTCTTCTCCACAATAGCTGAATCAGAATGTGTGAATCAGATAATAACTTTAATATCATATTTGTCCCTGTTTTCTTTCAAAGTTTTTTAGATATTTTAATTTGCAGCTGCAGCATCCCTATTTTCATATCTTGGGTTAAATAAGGATCTTATTGACTTGCTTCAAATGTATCTTATTATGGGATGGCTATTTAGTTATAATGTCTTCATATGTGGACTTGACTTTCTCAGAGAGGCTACACACTTTAAAAAAGTTAGAGGTATCTTCATCCCAGCAGGGATACTGAGAAGCACATCCATAAGCATATACAGTAGCATCGTCGTCCACAGTTGTTCCTTATTCTGATTGAGTACGAGGTTAAGGGTGTTACACGACACTTGGGGGCTCAGGTGAGAAAAATGTAGAATGTAAAAAAACTTTTTAATTGCTGTTGTTAGCTAGTTAGCTCGTGCCCTCACATAAACAGGCGCAGAGTAGACCTACTAATCTCGCGTGGCCATACCTCAGTTAGACAGATGTTTTACTGAATGATAAACAGACATCAGAATTTATGTAGACCAAAAATGTTTGAATCTTGACGGTCAAACAAATTTGGTAACCTTACAGTAAAGAACAGCGTTTTATCCTTTTCACAACTTTATTCAACAAATTATTAAAATTAATTCAGAGCAGTGTTTACTTTCTTTATTATTTTCCAGTTAGTTTACAGTTAATATCTATTACAGTAACATATTTTCAAAGAAGTTTTTCAATCATATTTTCGTACAAGTTTCGGCCCAACAGTAAATCATTTACAATTGATTGATGTAACTAGGATCAAATTGGCACTGACCTATGCAAGGCCAATATCACTATCATCTCTCCAGTTTGAAGATGCATTTGACAGCATTGCAGATCTAAAACAGTTACTGCCTAGGGTTTAACAAAAATGGATGCATAGAATAAAAAGTTTTATTATCACATTCATATTTCGGCTACCTTTATCTTTTTTTCTTGCTAAATTCAGAAAGGTGGACTGAAACCTAAAAGTCGCTCGTGGCCTTAGTTTACTGTATCGAACAGTGTCCTACATTATATAACAAAAAATTGTTCATATTAAACATTCCTCTCTGAATTGGTAATGTTATTATAGTGGGAAAAAAAAACCATGTGATATCGGCATCAAACATAAGCACTCAGCTGCCCTGCTCCCTCATCAGCACCAGCCACTGAAAAACTGATATCAGTCATGAACCATGAGGGTTTCAGATGAAGCACATTGTAATATTCCCAGGACAAAAAAGTACACAGTTATAATAGTTGTAATTTTTACTTGTAGCCCTTTTCAAAATCATTTAAGTTTAAAATTTTAACATAAAACAATCTTAAAAGCCATCAAAAGTTTCAGTAGAAAAAGACAATCACTGTCACAAAGCACAAACAGAAAGGTCTAAAATGTTAGCATGTCAAGAAATATGTATGATACATTTTAAATATTACACAGAATAAAAAATGTTTTGAAATTTCTTTTCTTTCCTTCTTGAAAGAAGTTATTTCCTTTGGTAGTCTTTACTGAAAGCTCTGCATGAATAAAAGATTTTTACTGCAAAGAAAGCAAGATAAGTAAAGACATGCATATAAACTACTGCACAACTCTCTTTAATAAACGATTTTCTTTAATGATGAAGGAGAAATAGGCACAAAACTGTGAGATTTGACCCCAGTTTCTTTTTTATTCATCATCAAATAATTAGATGTGAAGACAGTACTTGGAGCTGTACCTCCAGCAGGTGGTGCTCTCAGACTGTCAGTGCCCTGGGTCTCCTTCCTGCAATCACAGCAGTGAGTTGCTGCTCAGTTTGACGGCTCCGCAGCTAGAAGGAGACTTAAACATGAAAAAAGAGGTTATCACATGCACAGGATAGCTCTTGTTCACAAAAAATTTAAAGGAGAAATGAAGACTCAGATCTGGTCAATGTTTTTTATTGTTTCCAAAAGTTATGCCAGTAGAGTGTATGCATCTTAACCTTTGCTACCCTCAGGTATGCACAAGTGATGCATTTAGAAATACAAATTACTAAATATAGAAATAATCTGCTTGTTATAGCTCAAGATAATCCACATTATGCCTCAGGTGCCTCAGGAAATTACCAGCTTTTCCTGTGGTGGTCTGGTCCACTTTTATAGCTCGTGCAAAAATTGATTGTAGTCGGTGTTGTGGTAACTAAAACTTCTCAGAAGAATTTCAAACCCCCTCTTCTGATCTTTAAAGACAGATTTTTCTTTGGTTTGGATTAAAAAAAAGTTTGAAAATTACACCCTGCTGTGTTCAAAATGTCAATTTGCAATGTGTTAAAGGTATTATAAACAGATTTAAATCTAACTTGGGTTTCAAAATGCATAAAACTGATGTAGAAAAACAGTATAGAGATAAGTTTAAAAAGCTCTAATGGTCTCATATAAGGTGGTGAGGGGTCAGAGAGTTGGGACAGATCCCCCGTCCTTCACAGATCTGACGTACACAGACAAACATCCACAGACGGACACACTAACAGACTCATCACTATAGAAAAACATCCAAAAACGCACCGATTCACAGATAAAATAGACAGCTGATTTCCTGATGGAACAAAAGAATCAAAGCCCGAATGGTGGAAATGTCAAGGAGACTCATCAACATATCATCCGCTGTCATTGTTCGCTCATCAATAAGTCATTCATGGCAGACTGTTAGAGATATAGAAGTACTTTCATCAGAGAGACATGTCAGCGCTGATGTGTGGAATAAATTATATGATCAGTGTACGCACCGGTCCACACAGAAACAGCAGAGATTTATCTGCAGCAGCTGTGGATTGGCTGATTTACTGTGTAACCATGTCAATGCAGTTTCAGCTCACTGACGGTCAGACTGAAGCTCTCAGACTCCATCACTTTCTGCTGCTGCCGTCCTAACAGAGATGAAGTGGCTGTAAAAATCAGGCTTTAAGAAGAAATCCTTTCCTCCATCACACAAAGCCCTCTTTACCCAGTCTGACACTTTTATCATTCTGTCCTGGGTATGCCTAAAAGCTGAGAAACAAGGTGATTAGCTCTGAAATTCTGCAAATAGGACAGGAGATTTTTCCCAATGTAATGGCTCAGAGCGGTATCTCCAACTCACAGCTGCTTATGACAGATAAAGACAGTTTTCAGCCTATTTTTACATCCATGTTAATGTTTCTTAATGTTTGAGTAAGTAATCAGAGGTGTGCTTTCTGATCCTGAGGGATGAAAAATCAAATCTACACACCAGCTCACCATAAATTTGAAGAAATAAAGAAGTTAAATATCCTAGAGTCAGCTTAATCAAAATCTCCATCTCTTTACATCTTTTATTGATCCTGTCGTGTTTTATTAGCTGGTGAGCAGACAGGCTGCCGATGGATTCGAGCTGCATGGATTTCATCTGGGGGTCAGTGTGGCTGTCCCTGGGTTTATATCAGGTCACGCTCTGACAGCAGGTCAACAAACTGTATATTAGGTTATTAAACTGTGCTCCCTTTTCTGTTCATGTCAAAACCTTGATTCATGATTAGCCAAGATCTGAGCTGACTAGGATTGTGTTAGAGAACCATGTAAGAAAACTGAAGTATGTTAGAAACTAGGAGTGTCGCGGTACAACCTTTTTACTTCCGATGATACCGATATTGTAGCCTTTAGTATCGGCCAATACCGACGTTGGTCCGATATTGGCACAAACTTGTGCATGACACGTTTTGCACTCAGCTGCAACGTCTTTTTCAGACTTTAACAAAAAATACTACCACCAGGCCGACATCACTCCTACTCCTTGCTACTTTGTTTGTATCTTAGCACGCACTGTTGTTCTGATCAAGTGGGCTCCTCATGCTGGATCTGGGCATTGCTAGCTCAAGGTGCTGGAGTGGAGTCTGGAATGGACTGCTTGTATTGGAGTGCTGATATTGGAGATTTTAGATGCAGGCAGATATTTGGATGTTTGGTTTTTGGCTGATATTGGACCGATATCTGATATCAATATCGTATCGGGAAAGCCCTATTAGAAACTTGTGAAACTTGGCCCTGAGTAGCTACAAAAAGGCTTTCTGTTGCTCAGACATAAGCTGGTCTGCAGACCTTTACTGTGAATGAGAGGACTTTCTGATCTGCAGTGGTCCAGTGGTCTTCATTAGGAGAGACATACTGTACCTCTATTTGAGCAAATACCCATGATGCACGTTGCTTAGAGCATGTGCATCCTGCAAACTGCAGTTCATTCAGCACCTATCATTGCGCTTATGCAGAAGATTTAAAGGTAATTCTCCTTTAAAAATATATCAGAAAAGCCATTCCTTCTTAAAAGAGAGGAGTCTGCAGATCTTTTCATACTGTCTGTGGAGTAAATATGTTGTGCGTCACTCCTCTGTTCTATTTCTCAGACATTCACAGATAAATCTGAAATACTTCTGCACCATCAGCTGTCTCTATGCCATGAAATGAAAAAGTCTGACGGACAGATTGAAATAAAGGAGCTCGAACAACCAGCCGCACAAATGTTTCTTGAGTTGAAGGGACATTTTTCAAGTAACAAAGTTTGTTCAAACTCTGATACATCTTCTTCATGAAAGGTTTGATGTTGAACTCCAAATATC